ACAAAATAGTTCATTCGACACCAATCCGTCGTGCGTTAGAGGACGGATGCTTGATTCCTAACAAAGTAGTGCAAATCGGTCTCCGCGGAGGTGGATATTCGCCTGACAACTTCCTGTGGGGCAAACGTCAGGGATTTAAAGTAGTACGCGCGGAAGAATGTTGGCACAAGTCCCTACAACCCCTGATGGAAGAAGTTCGCGAACTCATGGGAGATTCCCCTGTCTATTTCACCTTTGACATCGATGGCCTTGACCCCGCAGTTGCCCCTGGCACCGGAGTCTTGGAACATGGCGGATTAACAGCAGTTCAAGGTCTGGAAATTGTCCGAGGTTGCAAGGGTATGAATTTAGTCGGCGCAGACGTGACAGAAATTTACCCACAATACGATCAATGCGGTCGCACGTGTCATCTCGGCGCTGATCTACTTTACGAAATGTTGTGCGTTCTTCCCGGCGTTGAGTACCACGATTTGTAAACCGTGGTTCCCGTATTTTTGATTGAAATAATATTATGCATTATGGCACGGGTTATTTGGTATATACCTATCCCCCTGGGCCAACTCATCCATTCATAATCTACCTACAATGGATACAAGAAAACTAGTCGGATCTGTAGACTAGTGACGCAATGAGAATTGACTATGCGTCTATATATATATACATATATGCCAAAGCATAAAAATGAGATGGGTGCAGGAATCGAACGCACCCTTAATCATTATATAATTCCGATGTGTATTTTGTACTTCATCTGAATAAAACAGTTCCAGATTGTTCGCTTCCTTTATTTTTTATGGGTAACTTCAACTTCACCCATTCGCGATCTGACAACCATCTTCTTCAAGACACGGCGTTTCTTGTCTTTTCTTTCCATATGTAAAGAATATCAAGAAATAAGAAGATGGTGGTGGCGGGGATCCAACTTGAACCCCTTCCCCCTAGAAATGCCATTGTTGTTGGAAATCGAAATAGAAAGGGGGAAATGCAGTACAACATGTTCATTAGATTCAATTAACCCCCTATGCCCGACTCCGCCAAACGAATTGATCATTTTGAACAGTGTTACATAAATCACAAATCATAGGGTTAATCTCCATAGATTTATTGCTATATTGATTTTTCTGTATCGATCTGTCTTGTTCGCTTTGTCCTAGATCTAATAATCGACAAGAGCCAAGATTTTGACTTCCTGTATCGCATCAATATCGCCAGAGATTGACTTACAAGAAACAGAGTTTTACGTCTTACTTTTTTCTGCTTCTGAGATGAGTAACACTATGCGATGTGCAATAAGGGAAAAGACTCTTTAAGTACACAAGGTATTGCACCAACGTTTCGATATGCAAACTGTGTAGGTTAACGCCATGGTCCCAGAAAGATGTCCCTCATTGCCAACTGCATGGCATTTGTCCAATTAGAACTCCACTACATTATCATAGGCAATTATTTTTCCAAATGAGTAAACTTTAAGATTTGTAACACAAGCCCAGGGGGTTAACGTTATACAATCACCTTTCTCTATATAGATAGGGGTTAAAGGGCCGAAACACTTTGCCATCGTTTCTTCAACATGCTTAAAAACTATTACACTTTTTTACCATGTTTCACTTTAGCAGGTAAACCTCATATAATGTATTAAGATTAACAAATATTATGATATCACGCGATGTCCAAACCGTCCTATCAACACACATGCACGTAGCTTTGTTTTGTAAATATGCACACACAAGAAATTTGTGAATACTAAATTAGAACTCCTCTCATATGAAAATTCACATGAAGCTATTTGGGTAAAGTGAACCACAAGCTTATCTCTGTATCCTATTTCAAATCTGACACTGTCTCTTTAAATGACAATCCCACATTTAATGACCATAAAAGACGCAGCCTAATTAAAAGACTTGATGATATAAAAACATGAATATAAACTAAGATTTGGTTATTCATTCAACGACTTGGTGTTAAGTATCTTGTCTTGAAAATGTCAACAGTGCTGAAGCAAAACAACGATGTTTACAGTCAAAATTGAATGACAAAATTGTTTTTTCGCATTCATTCGTAGATTTGATGAGTAAAGCCAAAAGTGTACGACGAATGGATTCATCAGCCGATTGGTAGGTATTAAATTTTCTCGATGATGGTTAAAAAACATGACACAAACGTGAAAACATTGGATGCGTTATTGCCGTTGTTAGCTGTTAGCTGGTAAGAGTTTTGTTGTTGTTGGCTGATGTTGTGTTGTTGTTGCAGTTGTAAACTGGTAGTAATTGTGTATTGGTGTATGTGTTGTTG